GGCTCATGTGATCAGACACGCGATAACACACCTAATCTTAATAAGATGAAAACAAATAAATATTCCCAGATGATTGTGGACAAAACTTCCCTTGCGAATGAAGTGTAAATATTGTGCAATATTTGCATAATGCAATATCCTGTTCCAATATAGTTTAGATAAAGAAACTCTGACAATGTAAACTTGACCAACCCTTGAATCAGTTGGATGCAGCAACCAGGAACACTCAACATCTACACAAGAATTGTTCGTGCACGAGTTTGTGTTTATCCTGTGTTCGTGTTCAGTCAAAATTAAGTAATAGCTTGTGTCTTCAGTAAAAAAAACTCGGTATGTCTTCAATTGTGACAAGTATTCTCAGTTCAACACTTGGTTTATTATGGAATAAGGTCAGAGACTCGACGGCAGACAAATTCAAAGACGGCGATGTAACCGATGCACAAATTCGAAAGATTGTCGTACGCGAGTTAAATGATATCAAGTCTAAAATCGATGGCCTTTCCCGATCAACTTTACTCGCCAGTTATAATTTTTTAAAAGAAGGAGTAGAGTTACTCCGTGTTTCTCTTGATAAATCAAATCCCGAGCAGAAAGCGAGCGAAACTCAGGACGAACTGGGTGAACCTTCGAGCGTTATTCAGTCTGGCATCTTAAACCAAGCAATAGAGCTTCCTCGCGCCATGGAAAAGCTTAAAATCAACTCGGACAGAGAGTTTGAAACTGCGAGAGAAAGATTCAAGAAAGCGCGCGAGAAAGCAACCACTGCTTTCTGCAATGAGGCATTTAGTATCGAAGATCGAATTTTTGCCGCGAAGCTACGAATAGTTTCAGAAATACTGGAACATGTCGATAGTCCTGAGACCGCAATCACTGGGTGTTTGACGTTTTTGGAGACCCTTCATAGCTTACCAGCCATTCAAGAGATATTCTGGGTGTATTTGAACGGTGGAGTCAAATCGTTGTTGAATAAAACTCAACGAGTGGAGAACGTCAAGTCGGTTATGTTGATCAACTATGTGTTGTTTCAATATGTTTGGAAATTCAGCAGCAAGTATTCGTTTGAAGTGTCTGCCGACATGCCAACGATTGAACTTCCTGATCGTAGTTTTCACCCAATAAGAAATTGGAACGAAATTTCAACAAGAAAGTCTATGGGAAAGGAATTGCCTCATCCTCCCTACGAACAGTTCCTTGATGAAAAAATAAGACCCTACCGCTCTGCTGTGAACAGTCAGGGGGATGTTCTTACTGTCCCTGGTACTGGGTTTAGTGACCACATCATGATTATCCATGAGGCAGGAAAAATCAAACGGGTTGAAATACCTGAATTTGCAGGTTATATTTTAGTGGCGCTTGCTGTTGATATGAATAACAATGTTTACGCGGTGACAGAACGTTCAGGTGAAGTTTTATTCATGTTGACGATATTGGACGAGAATTACAATGTAAAAGCAAATCATACATTGGATTTTCTCAAGGATTTTACTCTAGCTAAGATCGCGATATCCAAAGACGATGATATTATCATCATCCAACGCAAAGACCCTCATGTGTATGTTTGTGACAAGACGGGTCAATTGAAATACAAGTTTAAACGTGACTCGAGTGAGGCATTTTTATTGAGTATTTCCCAGCAGAATGAAATCATGATACCAACAGACGATGATACGGCGGTTCAAATATACACCAAGGAAGGAAATGTGAAGACAGCAATAAAAGTCCCAGAAGATCATGAGGTATGGAGCGTGGCATTTCACTACGAAATTTGTAAAATATTGCTTTTGACCAGGGTTAAGGAAAAAGATTCCTATTTCATTCTGTGCTACCCTGAAGCAGGCGGGGAGCTGGAGACTCTTACCTTCTTTTGTAAAGATGATGATGAGTGTGATACCTATCTGGTATCCCATCCCAAGGGTCATGTTGTTGCTGTAAGAGGCAGAAGCATCACTTACCTTTAATGAGATTTAATATGAACAAACATTTCCTGCATAAAACACAGTAAATACTTGTCAGAAATAGTGCAACTTTGAGTTAACTAAAGCAAACAATAGATGCAGCATGGTTTATATAATTTGTGAGACTTTGCTGAATTACGTCCCATTAAAGTGTTCCTGTTTCTGTTATAAGAGAGACAAATAAGTGTAACTTATATTTAAATAATTTAAATAATAATGTTTTTTGACAATTGCCAACATGGACAATAAGCTTTAATGACATTTAAAAGTGTATGAATCCTATTTCATATGATATAATCTAGTGAAAACTTTCTTTGTTCTTGTAATAAATGATCAGGTTCTTAACATAATAAAGATAATCATGTTTCTTTGTTAGATAGATATTCAGGCTACAAACAAGTTTGTAAATATTGTGTCCCAGGGAAACCTAGTGAACTCGATACATCTTCAGGAGGAAGATGGTTGCCAGATGAATGCACCCATCACATAAACTACATTGAATGTTTGGCTGCATTTTTTGCCCTTAAACTGTTCAGCACCACTCTTAAGTGGTGTAAGCATGTAAAACTCATGATAGATAACACCACAGCAGTAGCTGTAATAAATAACATGGGTTCTTGTCATAGTCGTATTTGCCGCCCTATGTGCTGCGAAATCTGGGAATTTTGTATAAAGTACAACATTTGGCTTAGGCTTACTGCTGTTCACATTTCTGGTTCGCAGAATGTCTTAACACGCAAAGAATCTCGTAACTTTCATAATCCGGATAACGAATAGAAACCAAACCATTGTCATTACATAATACGCTCAGTACCTTGAATTTTCACACTTAGATCGATCTTTTTGCATCACACTTAAATATAAAACTGTTCCTAACATATTGCTCTTATCCGCCAGATCCTGGAGCGGTGTTCGTTGATGTTTTCTCTATTTCGTGGATTGACCTGAAATTTTATTGTTTCCCGCCGTTTACTTGTCTGTTACAGGCTGTAAAGAAAATAATTCAGGAGCATGCCAAGGAAATTTTAGTTATTCCCGACTGTCCCACCCAGCCTTGGTATCCTTTGCTAGCCTCTCTTCATGTTCCACCTCCTGTGGTCCTACAACCCAGTCACAAACTACTGAACCTCGGTCGGAAATCATCGGAAACAACTCATCCCCATTGCAAGAAGCTCAAACTTTTGGTTTGTCATGTCTGCGGCAACAACTGCAACAACCTGGCTACTCGTTAAGATCATTAACATAATTGAATCCTCTTGGAGAGACAGCACTAAATCTCAGTACCAAGTGAATCTGCAGAAATGGTTAAAATTTTGTATGAAAAGGCATTGTGATATCATCTCCCCTCCCTTACCACGGACGTTAGATTTTCTGTCATCGCTGTTTGACTCAGGTTTGTCCTATCGCTCAATCAACTCGGCGAGGTTTGCTTTATCTTCTATTTTGCAGTTAAGTGATAGTGAAGTCACTTTCGGACAGCTACCTATTGTTTAGCACTTTATGAAAGGTGTGTTCGAACTGCACCCGGCTCTACCGCGTTACCAGACAACATGGGATGTTAGCAAGGTCTTATAGTTTTTTCGAAAGCAGCCTATACCTTCCGCGCTGACTTTGAAGGATCTTACTGTTAAAGTTTTCTTCTTATTGACCTTACTCAGTGGACAACGCTGTCAAACTATTCATCTTCTCACTGTCGATAACATGATTCTCAAACAGACACGTGTCGGAACTCATGTCAAACCCTTCGAGTTTTTGAAATATCCATTTGAGCCTCAGCTTTGCGTCGTTACTCATCTCTTAGAGTATATCAAGAGAAATGATGAAAATGGCCATGATAGAAAGCAATATCTAATGAGTTATGTGAAACCGTATGGACCTGTTTCCAAAGATACTATATCTCGATGGATAAAGTCTGTTTTGGTAGCTGTAGGTTTAGATGTTAGCAAATTTAAAGGTCATAGTGTTCGAGCAGCAACTACATCCTTTTTAGCGTCCAATAATTGTAACATTAAGGATATTATGTTATCCGCAGGATGGTCGAATGAACAGACATTTCAACGGTTTTATAATAAACCGAGCGAGGAGGAATTTAATTTTGGCGCTTCGGTGTTAGAGTGTTATACAAACGTGAATTGTTCCTAGGATATATAATATACTATATATATAATATACTTCTCTATACATCGAGATGCCTTTCCACTTAGTTTTATCACGCTGGCTATAGTTAGAGTGGTTTGTGTATCTCTGCTGGACAAAGCCCTCACTGATTGCTCTTAAATCTCGTACAACGTCACATGACTTAGGTTGGTGACGAAATAGAATTGAAAATTAAACGAGACTTACCTGGAAGTTAAAGTTTGATTTGGCCTGGAGTGTGAGAGTTGCACGATCCCCCCCTGTTCTCTCCCATTTCCTTACTCAGTTGCAGTCCACTCTCACACTCATCACGTCCGTGCGGTCTTTGTCCGGTAAAGCTCTAAAGACTGATTGACGCATGCGCTCCACTCTCCCTCGTACAACTCTCACACTCCAGGCTGATGACTCATACAATCCAAATCAAATTTCAACTTCCAGGTAAGTCTCGTTTAATTTTCAATTGTATGTCATGTGAGATAAGATTTAAATTCAATGCCAATGATTCTCGATATGAATCAAATAAACAATGATTTTTATTTCCAATAACATAGATATGTTCGGCATCTCTTTCAAGTGAACTTTCCTGAAAAAACACGACTGTTTGGAAATTCAGCAGCAAGTATCCATAAGTGACGGGTTCATAGTTTATTGAGCGTAACATTTCAATACACTATTCACAAACACCTCTCTGATGCAACTTTTACAAGTCCAATTACCATCTGATTTTTGTGGCGATTTTCGTCTTTTGGTTGATGTGAACGAGCGAATAGTTATGATGTAATGATGTATAGGTGTTCTTATCTGAACAACCATAACTAAATCTATTTGTTTACATCTATCACAAGAAGAAGATGAAGGCAACAATTGCAAATGTAAACCTGTCTTAATACATGCACCTCTTCAATACAGACATCTCTCTGATATGAACATATTTTCAACTGCACAATTCGTCAAGTCAGGAATGGTTAAGATTCATCCTCTGCTAATGATGTGAATTATTGCAAGTGCGTGTGAAGAGATAAACAATTGTGATATCAACAGTTCGTGTAACTCAGGTATATTTACTGCATTCGTTTATTCATTCATTCGTTCGTTCATTTGAGCTGAGCTCAAACTCTTGGCTGAGTTAACAACCTCAAGAAACAGTCGAAACTCTCTGCAGAGAAAAACTTCACAAACTCCACACACTTAAATTTTGTTAGATTACATCTGATGCCTGTCTTTCGACATGCGGGATTTTGATTTTGAAGAGCGAATGTTGTATTGTAATTATTTTATCCATGTTCTGGTATAACACGAGTTTACTCCCAAGGTTTTGATAAGCAATTATTCTGGTGAGAGCTAACTCAATTGATGATGTACAACTCTTTCATTCCTTGTAGATAACTGTGATTTTACGCGTGGTAAATATTGTCATTGGGTTCGTGATAAAAACCAGCGCTGCTATTGACAAACAAAAAGAAGATCGAGACAATCCAAGAAGACTGGACCCAGTCGAGACCACACTACAGACTCAGGTAAGAGTGATCTCATGACCACCAACATTATTATGAATAGTCATTACTTCATCACTCTACATCGCTTCCAGCACTGTCCATGATTGTCAATTGTTATCCATCGATGCACAAGATTATCATATTTAATCATACCAACCCATTCATAATTATACATCAACATCCCTGAACATCAATCATCATTCTCGTCTTCATTATCATGGTTGCGGAGATCTCCGTTGAGATTTTCGTCTTTTGATAGATGTGATCGTGTCGATAAGTTACCAGTTTTCAAATGAGGGTCCTTATACACAGAGCTTTTTAAGTTTTAACTATTCATTCTATTCGTAGATAATAATAATAATAATAATAAATGTCTTTATTTCTTCACAAGATAAAAAATACATATCTTATGTTACATTTGAGATTACAAGATGAAACAATTTACAATACTAGATTATATTTAAAAATGAGACGATTGATATAAGAATTTTTAAAACGATCTGTGTTAATCTTTGGAAAGTTACTAAATTTATTTCTTAGTTCATATCTATTGACTTTCTTCTTTGGCAACAAGTTTCTTAATGGGTGCTGTTCAATTTGCCTGACCTTACTAAAAAGTTTTCTATCTTGCTTTTCCAGCAATTCTTGCACACTAATTTCTTTCGAAATATATTTACGTTTATGACATCGTCTCAAAAAGCATTCAATTTTTGCAAGTTCGGGTTTGGAAGCACTATATACTGAAACAGCATAGGTAATATTTGGTAGAACTAAGGTGGTAAATAAGTGATCAATCTCTTTCTGATTATAGCCTTCTTTGCGCAGTGATCTTAGGATGAAAAGGCACTTATTGGCCTTTTTAAGCTTTTCATAAACATGAATTGTAAATCGGCTATCTTCTTGGAATGTAACTCCCAACAAAACGATAGATGGCGTTTGCGGGATGCCAGCGACCACAGGAAATATTTCAGTACAGCTTTTCTTCCGAATAATCAACTCTTTACATTTAGTAGGATTACTCTTCATACAATTGCGACTTGACCACTCTAAAAACTGTTGAACCATATCGTCAGAAGCATCGTTCTCTTCCAGACTGGGGATATAATAGTGGAATCATCCGCGTATTTAACCAACCCACACTTGATGCCGATAATATCTCAAGATCATTAATAAAGACGTTGAACAATTGTGGGCCACTCACACTACCCTGAGTAGTTCCTTTATTCACACGTGTCCAGACACTAACAAATCCATTGCTGACAACTCTTTGTTCTCTATCTTTTAAGAAGCTAAGATACCAGTTGAATACGTATGGATTAAGACCAATTCGCCTAAATTTCTCCGATAATAAACTATGTTTTACGCTGTCAAAGGCCTTACTAAAAATCCATGGCAAAAACACGAACAGCTTTACATTCTGGGTTATCAAGGTATTGATTAACAGTATGTTGAACCGCAACTAATGCATCAGTACAGCTACCACCCTTCCTATAGGCAAACTGAGATGCCTTCAAATGCTGTTCGATACAATCTTTAGCGTGCACTCTCACACAATCTTTTCGAAAGCTCTTGCTATAACAGGTGTTATATTAATACCACGATAATCATTATTCTCCTTTGGTAACTCAACTTTTGCCAATGGATCGATATTAGATCTTTTCCAAGAGACAGGCCAAGTATGTGTTTTAAGTGACAGATTCCAAACTTTCGTCATTACAGGAGTTAATAGCTCAGCATGATCCTTCCAAACTGTATACGGTATCGAATCCGGACCCATAGCTGTTCTTTTAATAAGTTTAAGAGTATTCCACACTTGCCATTCATTAACCGTTGGAATTTCAACGTCATCACTAATGTCCTGTGGTTGTGGATTTTCATAATTGATATCTGTACACACATTGCCAAAATAGGTATTTAAGTCACAAAGTGAATTATGATCAAGGTCTAGCGGGGATCCTGATGATTTGTGTCACGTACTTCAGATCTTCGCTAACTCGAACTCCCAAGGGGAAAGAAAAATTGTTCGAGTTTGCGAGGGTTCGAGTTAGCCGGAGTTGGTGTCAGATTACGTTTATTATAAGTTATTAATACAGTAAGGTATAAAGTGCAATCGAATCATCCAGGGATATCATGCCTACCAACATGAATTGTCACCGAGAGTGGACGACGTTTTAAAATATTAAAAAGATCGAAAGAATGCCAAATGAACTAAAAAGGCTAGATCAATAACGACCGTGGCACTACACAAAATCTTTCAAAATTTATAAGCATCTATATACAATTACCCACTGATTAAGTTGTTATTGTTTCGGAGTAAATTACTATAAAGAAAATTACCAAATCCAAGAGGAATTGGATTAGTTCGAGTTAGTGAGGAGTTCGAGTTAAGCGAGTTTGAGTCAGAGGGGGACTACTGTAGTTATTTACGAGACGTCATCATTCGTTTGTGCTCAGTGAGAAATTAAAAAAAAAACTTCGCCAAACAGGCGGAAAGAGCGTTAATATTCTCCACCTTGAATTGTTTAGACTCTCGTGAATCTAATAAAAAATAACTTGAGGTAATCCTTGATGCGTTTTTCCAGTCATTTTCATTGCTTTGCTTGGGTTCCATGACACTCACTTTTCTCGACATGACAAACGCCCCCATATTGGAAAGAATTTATTCTCAGACAAGTAAACAATAAGCGTTGAATTCACTCTTGAAATAACTTTTATCGATCATTTTTTCCTAAATATGTGATTGATTGTTTCAACTCATAATCATGGAAAAGTTTGATTTCAACTCTTCAAGTGAGAACGTCAAGCCTTGTTTCAGCAACAGTCTGTACCTGATTTACTTTGCTTTAAAATTTAATTGATAGCTCTATTAAAATGAGGAATATTTTAAACCCTGGGAACTAGGCTGGAGACTTCTCGAAGAAAGAAAGAAAGTACGTGACACAAATCATCAGGATCCCCGCCACGTCCTTTATACGATAAAAACACTTTAAATTTTTGCAAGCATTAGTAAAGATACGTAGATCTCGTTCAAATACACTTTTCTCTGATCCCAGTTCGATATCATGGAAAAGAATATTGTGTTAAGATGATCGTAAGAAACTCTGTGAATGAAGTGACAGGAATATTTGTACAAAAAGCCCGCACTAACATATTGTAGGTGAAGAAACTTAGCGGGATTCCCGCCTGGAAATTTCCATATGGTAAAATTACTGGATGAACATACCACAAGATTGTGAGGAATTCAACGCAAGAATGAATATGCTTTGACATATTGTCTTGTGTTTTGTCAAGTTTAGCATCGCTTGGAGTAAAGAAACTCGGCATGTCTTCAATTGTGACAAGTATTCTCAGTTCAACAGTTGGTTTATTATGGAATAAGGTCAGAGACTCGACGGCAGACAAACTCAAAGACGGCGATGTAACCGATGCAGAAATTCGTAAGATTGTCGTACGAGAATTAAATGATATCAAGTCTAAAATCGATGGCCTTTCTAGATCAACTTTACTCGCCAGTTACGATTTTCTAGAAGAAGGAGTTGTGTTACTCAGTGTTTCTCTTGATAAATCAAATCCCGAGCAGAAAGCGAGCGAAACTCAGGACGAACCAGGTGAACCTTCGAGCGTTATTGAGTCTGGTATCTTAAACCAAGCAATAGAGCTTCCTCCCGCCATGGAAAAGCTTAAAATCAACTCGTACAGAGAGTTTGAAACTTCGAGGGAAAGATTCAAAGATGCGCGCAAGACAGCAACAACTGCTTTCAGAAATGAGGCATTTAGTATCGAAGATCGACTTTTTGCTGCGAAGCTACGAATAGTTTCAGAAATACTGGAACATCTCGATAGTCCTGAGACCGCAATCACTGGGTGTTTGTTGTTTTTGAAGAAGCTTCATAGCTTACCAGCCATTCAAGAGATATTCTCGGTGTATTTGAATGGTGGAGTCAAATCGTTGTTGAATAAAACTCAACGAGTGGAGAACGTCAAGTCAGTTATGTTAATCAACTATGTGTTGTTTCAATATGTCTGGAAATTCAGCAGGAAGTGTCCATTGGAAGTGTCCGCCTGCATGCCAACGATTGAACTTCCTGATCGTAGTTTTCACCCAATAAGAAGTTGGAAGGAAATTTCAACAAGAAAGTTTATGGAAGAGGAATTGTCTTATCCTCCAAACGAACAGTTTCTTGATGAAAAAATGATACCTGCCTTATCTGCTGTGAACAGTCAGGGGGATGTTCTTACTGTCTCTGGTACTAGGTTTAGTGACAACATCATGATTATCAATGAGGCAGGAAAAATCAAACGGGTTGAAATACCTGAATTTGCAGGTAATATTTTACCGCCGCTTGCTGTTGATATGAATAACAATGTTTACGTGGTGAGAAGACGTTCTCTTGAAGTATTCATGTTGACGATATTGGACGAGAATTACAATGTAAAAGCAAATCATACATTGTATTTTAACGATGACAGTGTTATTGGGATCACGATATGCAAAGACGATGATATTATCATCATCCAAGGCAATGACCCTGATGTGTATGTTTGTGACAAGACGTGTCAATTGAAATACAAGTTTAAACGCGACTCGAGGTTGGCATTTTCATTGAGTATTTCCCAGCAGAATGAAATCATGATACCAACAGACGATCGTACGGCGGTTCAAATATACACCAAGGAAGGAAATCTGAAGACAACAATAAAAGTCCCAGAAGATCATGAGGTATGCAGCGTGGCATTTCACTACGAAATTTGTAAAATATTGGTTTTAACCAGAGTTAGGATAAAGCATTCCTATTTCATTCTGTGCTACCCTGAAGCAGGCGGCGAGCTGGAGACTCTTACCTTCTTTTTTAAATTAGGCCAAGAGTGGGCTCCCAAACTGGTATCCCATTCCAAGGGCCCTGTTGTTGTTGTAAGAGACAGCAGCATCATTTACCTTTAATGAAATTTAGTATGAACAAACATTTCCTTCATAAAACACAGTAAATGCTTGTCTGAAATAGTGCAACTTTGAGTTAACTAAAGCAAACAATAGATGCAGCATGGTTTTTATAATTTGTGAGACTTTGCTGAATTACGTCCCATTAAAATGTTCCTGTTTCTGTTGTAAGAGAGACAAGTGTAACTTAAATTTAAATAATTCAAATAATAATGTTTTTTGACATTTGCAAACATGAACAATAGGCTTTTAATGACATTTAAAAGTGTATGAATCCTATTTCATATGATATAATATAGTGAAAACTTTCTTTGCTCTTGTAATGAATGATCAGGTTCTTAACATAATAAAGATAATCATGTTTCTGTCTTAGATAGATATTCAGGCTACAAGTTTGCAAAATAAATAAAGTTACCCACGGAAATCCTTCCAGTCGATTTCAAGGCCCGCAAGCCTACCAAGCTACAGGCTGGACTGAGCCTTTTTTAGGCTAACACGGAATTAGGCTCTCCCTTACCAAGGACGTTAGATTTTTTGTCATCGCTGTTTGACTGGGGTTTGTCTAATCGCTCAATCAACTCGGCGAGGTTTGCTTTATCTTCTATTTTGCAGTTAAGTGATAGTGAAGTAACTTTCGGACAGCTACCTATTGTTTAGCACTTTATGAAAGGTGTATTCGAACTGCGCCCGGCTCTACCGCGTTACCAGACAACATGGGATGTTAGCAAGGTCTTATAGTTTTTTCGAAAGCAGCCTATACCTTCCGCGCTGACTTTGAAGGAGCTTACTGTTAAAGTTTCCTTCTTATTGACCTTACTCAGTGGACAACGCTGTCAAACTATTCATCTTCTCACTGTCGATAACATGATTCTCGTTGCGGACAAGTGCACTTTCCACGTCATGGAAAAAGTCAAACAGACACGTGTCGGAACTCATGTCAAACTCCTTGAGTTTTTGAAATATCTATTTGAGCCTCAGCTTTGCGTCGTTACTCATGTCTTAGAGTATATCAAAAGAACTGATGAAAATAGCTATGATAGAAAGCAATTTCTACTGAGTTATGTGAAACCGTATGGACCTGTTTCCAAAGATACTATATCTCGATGGATAAAGTCTTTTTTGGTAGCTGTAGGTTTAGATGTTAGCAAATTTAAAGGTCATAGTGTTCGAGCAGGAACTACATCCTTTTTAGCGTCCAATAACTGTAACATTAAGGATATTATGTTATCCGCAGGATGGTCGAATGAACAGACATTTCAATGGTTTTATAATAAACCGAGCGAGGAGGAATTTAATTTTGGCGCTTCGGTGTTAGAGTGCTATACAAACGTTAACTGTTTCTAGGATATATAATATACTATATATATATAATATACTTCTCTATACATCGAGATATCTTTCCACTTGGTTTTATCACGCTGGCTATAGTTAGAGTGGTTTGTGCATCTCTGCAGGACAAAGCCCTCACTGATTGCTCTGAAATCTCGTACAACGTCACATGACTTTGGCTGATGACGAAATAGAATTGAAAATTAAACGAGACTTACCTGGAAGTTGAAGTTTGATTTGGCCTGGAGTGTGAGAGTTGTACGCCCCCCCCCTGTTCTCTCCCATTCCCTTACTTGCAGTCTACTCTCACACTCACCACGTCCGTGCGGTCTTTGTCTGGTAAAGCTCTAAAGACTGATTGACGCATGCGCTGCACTCTCTCTCGTACAACTCTCACACTCCAGGCTGATGACTCATACAATCCAAATCAAATTTCAACTTCCAGGTAAGTCTCGTTTAATTTTCAATTTCATCTCATGTGAGATAAGATTTAAATTCAATGCCAATGATTCTCGATATGAATCGAATAAACAATGATTTTTGTTTCCAATAACAAAGATATGTGCGGCATCTCTTTCAAGTGAACTTTCCTGAAAAAACACGACTGTTTGGAAATTCAGCAGCAAGTAGTCATAAGTGGCGGGTTCATAGTTTATTGAGCGTGGCATTTCAATACATTATTTACAAACACCTCTCTGAAGCAACGTTTACAAGTCCAATTACCATCCGATTTTTCGTGCGATTTTCGTCTTTTGATTGATGTGAACGAGGGAATAGTTATGATGTAATGATGTATAGGTTTTCTTATCTGAACAACCATAACTAAATCTACTCGTTTACATCTATCAAAAGAAGAAGATGGCAGCAACAATTGCAAATGTAAACATGTCTTAATACATGCACCTCTTCAATACAGACATCTCTCTGATATGAACATATTTTCAACTGCACAATTCGTCAAGTCAGGAATGGTTAAGATTCATCCTCTGCTAATGATGTGAATTATTGCAAGTGCGTGTGAAGAGATAAACAATTGTGATATCAACAGCTCGTGTAACTCAGGTATATTTACTGCATTCGTTTATTTATTCATTCGTTCGCTCATTTGAGCCGAGCTCAAACTCTTGGCTGAGTTAACAACTTCAAGAGACAGTCGAAACTCTCTGCAGAGAAAAACTTCACAAACTACACACACTTAAATTTTGTTAGATTAGTCTGATGCCTGTCTGTCGACATGCGGGATTTTGATTTTGAAGAGCGAATGTTGTATTGTAATTATTTTATCCATGTTCTGGTATAACACGAGTTTACTCGCAAGGTTTTGATAAGCAATTATTCTGGTGAGAGCTAACTCAACTGATGATGTACAACTCTTTCATTCCTTGTAGATAACTGTGATTTTACGCGTGGTAAATATTGTCATTGGGTCCGTGATAAAAACCAGCGCTGCTATTGACAAACAAAAAGAAGATTGAGACAATCCAGGAAAACTGGACCCAGTCGAGACCACACTACAGACTCAGGTATGAAATAAGAGTGATCTCATGACCACCATCATTATTATGAATAGTCATTACCTCATTACTCTACATCGCTTCCATCATTGTCCATGATTGCCAATTATTATCCATCGATGCACAAGATCATCATCTTCAATAATACGTAACGATCCATCGTTATCCATGAAAATGTACCAGATCTGGTCACACTGACTTCAATATTTACAGGTGCCACAGTTTCTTCCCTCAACGACGACCAACGCAAATCCGTAACACTGGAAGCAATCAAGACCACACAACTGGCACTGGTAAGAAATAGGAGTGATTCATCATCACCATTTGTCATCATCACCACCGTGCAAAAACACGGGGTATCCTTACCCCATCTATCTATATCGTTGTCCATTATTGTGCATCGGCATCCACAATTGTCTATTGTTATCCACCAAGCACATAATCATCGTCGTTTACCTTAATTATACAGCATACGATATAAATCATTCATCAGTTTTTCCCAAGAAGCAAACGTCTTGCAATTGGCAGTGGTAATAGGCTTTGACAAATCTTATTGTTATGCGAGTTGCAGGCGGAAGGGAAGGAGTCGGGCAGGTGCGGGTTATCAGCTTGTTGCGCAAACTTTCCTGTTAAACTTCAATTGTGCTTTAGTTACCGTGAATGAAACCTATTTCTATCAGTCTTTTTCATTAAATCTAAATTACATTTAAACTACTAGACCATATTCTACTGTTGTTCAGTCACGGACATGCGCAACAAGCTCTCCTAGCACATTTATTTATGCTTTTCCTTTCTTGATTTATCGCCCAGGTTTGATTTTAGAAATAATTGCAGTGATTTCTATCGTATTTCTTTAATCTTTAGTTTTGTGTGATAGTTCAGCGATAAATAAAGACTATCGTACAGCGTTAAGGTGCATATAACCGATCATACTTTCTGCCCTCCCATGTGCATTTTAAGAGTTTAAGTTATTCTACGTGAGGTTAAACAAAGAAATTTCAGAGAGAAAAAACGCGTACTGGCGAGAGAAGCGATTTCGGTTTGTTTATAGTCGGAATTTCTTGCAAGATTTTTTCACAAATACTGTTGTTGGTGTAATTCGGTAATGTAAGGTCAAGTAGCTATATATTGCTAACTTTTATATGCCTAATTTATGTACTTTTGTAAATACCTATAGCCCTAACTACGAACACGCAATGATTTCATCTCGCTCGTGTCTATAACTTTTCCCATAAAACTTGGCTCGTGCAGTGACATAAGACTAAAGTGAAATACAGCTGGGATATTTATATACGAGATCGCTCCCAGATATATTGTAGACGATGTAAACAAGGTAATTCTATACTGTAAACTTGAACAACCTTCATATCTCGCCTGTTTCTCATGTGATGAAGTTCTCAGGAAGAACGTAGATTACAACATCGTTAGGAATCATATGATTGAATGTGTTTGAACATATTCACCAGAGTTTAGTCAAAAATTAGCCTTAATTTTTGGCTTCAGTATAAAAACTCGGTATGTCTTCAATTGTGACGAGTATTCTCAGTTCAACACTTGGTTTATTATGGAATAAGGTCAGAGACTCGACGGCAGACAAACTCAAAGACGGCGATGTAACCGATGCAGAAATTCGAAAGATTGTCGTACGAGAGTTAAATGATATCAAGTCTAAAATCGATGGCCTTTCTAGATCAACTTTACTCGCCAGTTACGATTTCCTTCAAGAAGGAGTAGAGTTACTCAGTGTTTATCTTGATAAATCAAATCCCGAGCAGAAAGCGAGCGAAACTCAGGACGAACCAAGTGAACCTTCGAACGTTATTCAGTCTGGTATCTTAAACCAAGCAATAGAGCTTCCTTGCGTAATGGAAAAGCTTAAAATCAACTCGGACAGAGAGTTTGAAACTGCGAGAAAAAGATTCGAGAAAGCGCGCGAGACAGCAACCACTGCTTTCAGGAATGAGGCATTTAGTATCGAAGATCGAATTTTTGCTGCGAAGCTACGAATAGTTTCAGAAGTACTTGAACATCTCGACAGTCCTCAGACCGCAATCACTGGGTGTTTGTCGTTTTTGAAGACGCTGCATAGCTTACCAGCCATTCAAGTGATGTTTTCGGTGTATTTGAACGGTGGAGTCAAATCGTTGTTGAATAAAACTCAACGAGTGGAGATCGTCAAGTCGGTTATGTTAATCAACTATGTGTTGTTTCAATATGTTTGGAAATTCAGCAGCAAGTGTCCATTGGAAGTGTCCGCCTGCATGCCAACGATTGAACTTCCTGATCGTAGTTTTCACCCAATAATAAATTGGTTCGAAATTTCAACAAGAAAGTCTATGGGAATGGAATTGCCTCATCCTCCAAACGAACAGTTCCTTGATGAAAAAATAATACCCGACTTATCTGCTGTGAACAGTCAGGGGGATTTTCTTACTTTCTTTGATACTGGGTCTCGTGACAATATCATGATTATCCATGAGGCAGGAAAAATCAAACGGGTTGAAATACCTGAATTTGCAGGTGTTATTTTAAAGGCGCTTGCTCTTGATATGAATAACAATGTTTACGTTGTGAGAAGACGTTCAGGTGAATTAGGATTCATATTGACGATATTGGACGAGAATTACAATGTAAAAGCAAGTCATACATTGGATTTTCTCAAGGACAACGATTTTTCTCTAATTAAGATCGCAATATGCAAAGACGATGATATTATCATCATCAAACAAGAATACCGTCGCGTGTATGTTTGTGACAAGACGGGTCAATTTAAATACAAGTTTAAACGCGACTCGAGTGAGGCATTTTCATTGAATATTTCCCAGCAGAATGAAATCATGATACCAACAGACCATCATACGGCGGTTCAAATATACACCAAGGAAGGAAATCTGAAGACAACAATAAAAGTCCCAGAAGATCATGAGGTATGCGGCGTGGCATTTCACTACGAAATTTGTAAAATATTGGTTTTAACCAGGGTTAGAGAAAAGCATTCCTATTTCATTCTGTGCTACCCTGAAGCAGGCGAGGAGCTGGAGACTCTTACCTTCTTTTGTAAATTTAGCAATGAGCGGGGTCCCAATCTGGTATCCCATCCTAAGGGTCCTGTTTTTGTTGTAAGAGGCAGAAGCATCACTTACCTTTATAATGAGATTTAGTATAAACAAACATTTCCTGCATAAAACACAGTAAATACTTGTCTGAAATAGTGCAACTTTGATTTAACTAGAGTAAACAATAGATGCAGCATGGTTTATATAATTTGTGAGACTTTCCTGAATTACGTCGCATTAAAGTATTCCTGTTTCTGTTGTAAGAGAGACAAGTGTAACTTATACTTAAAAAATTCAAATAATAATGTTTTTTGACATTTGCAAACATGGACAATAGGCTTTTAATGACATTTAAAAGTGTATGAATCCTATTTCATATGATATAATATAGTGAAAACTTTCTTTGTTCTTGTAATAAATGATCAGATTCTTAACATAATAAAGATAATCATGTTTCTGTCTTAGATAGATATTCAGGCTACAAACAAGTTTGTAAATACAGTTTCCCAGGGAAACCCTTCCAGTCGATTTCAGGGCGCAAGCCTACCAAGCTACAGGTGGACTGAGCCTTTTTAGGCCAACACGGAGTTAGGCTCTCCCTTACCACGGACGTTAGATTTTCTGCCATCGCTGTTTGACTCGGGTTTGTCCTATCGCTCCATCAACTCGGTGAGGTTTGCTTTATCTTCTATTTTGCAGTTAAGTGATAGTCAAGTCACTTTCGGACAGCTACCTATTGTTTAGCACTTTATGAAAGGTGTATTCGAACTGCGCCCGGCTCTACCGCGTTACCAGACAACATGGAATGTTAGCAAGGTCTTACAGTTTTTTCGAAAGCAGCCTATACCTTCCGCGCTGACTTTGAAGGAGCTTACTGTTAAAGTTTCCTTCTTATTGACCTTACTCAGTGGACAACGCTGTCAAACTATTCATCTTCTCACTGTCGATAACATGATTCTCGTTGCGGACAAGTGCACTTTCCACGTCATGGAGAAAGTCAAACAGACACGTGTCGGAACTCATGTCAAACCCCTCGAGTTTTTGAAATATCCATTTGAGCCTCAGCTTTGCGTCGTTACTCATCTCTTAGAGTATATCAAGAGAACTGATGAAAATAGCCATGACAGAAAGCAATTGTTACTGAGTTATGTGAAAGCGTATGGACATGTTTCCAAAGATACTATATCTCGATGGATAAAGTATGTTTTGGTAGCTGTAGGTTTAGATGTTAGCAAATTTAAAGGTCGTAGTGTTCGAGCAGCAACTACATCCTTTTTTAGCGTCCAATAACTGTAACATTAAGGATATTATGTTATCCGCAGGATGGTCGAATGAACAGACATTTCAACGGTTTTATAATAAACCGAGCGAAGAGGAATTTAATTTTGGCGCTTCGGTGTTAGAGTGCTATACAAACGTTAATTGTTCCTAGGATATATAATATACTATATGTATAATATACTTCTCTATATATCGAGATGTCTTTCCACTTGGTTTTATCACGCTGGCTATAGTTAGAGTGGTTTGTGTATCTCTGCAGGACAAAGCCCTCACTGATTGCTCTGAAATCTCGAACAACGTCACATGACTTTGGCTGATGACGAAATAGAATTGAAAATTAAACGAGACTTACCTGGAAGTTAAAGTTTGATTTGGCCTGGAGTGTTAGAGTTGTACGCCCCCCCCTGTGCTCTCCCATTCCCTTACTTGCAGTCCACTCTCACACTCATCACGTCCGTGCGGTCTTTGTCTGGTAAAGCTCTAAAGACTGATTGGCGCATGCGCTGCACTCTCTCTCGTACAACTCTCGCACTCCCGGCTGATGACTCATACAATCCAAATCAAATTTCAACTTTCAGGTAAGTCTCGTTTAATTTTCAAATTTATCTCATGTGAGATAAGACTTAAATTCAATGCCAATGATTCTCGATATGAATCAAATAAACAATGATTTTTGTTTCCAAAAACAAAGATATGTGCGGCATCTCTTTCAAGTGAACTTTCCTGAAAAAACACGACTGTTTGGAAATTCAGCAGCAAGTAGTCATAAGTGGCGGGTTCATAGTTTATTGAGCGTGGCATTTCAATACATTATTTACAAACACCTCTCTGAAGCAACGTTTACAAGTCCAATTACCATCCGATTTTTCGTGCGATTTTCGTCTTTTGATTGATGTGAACGAGCGGATAGTTATGATGTAATGATGTATAGGTGTTCTTATCTGAACAACCATAACTAAATCTACTCGTTCACATCTATCAAAAAAAGAAGATGAAGGCAACAATTGCAAATGTAAACTTGTCTTAATACATGCACCTCTTCAATACAGACATCTCTCTGATATGAACATATTTTCAACTGCACAATTCGTCAAGTCAGGAATGGTTAAGATTCATCCTCTGCTAATGATGTGAATTATTGCAAGTGCGTGTGAAGAGATAAACAATTGTGATATCAACAGTTCGTGTAACTCAGGTATATTTACTGCATTCGTTTATTCATTCGTTCGTTCGTTCATTTGAGCCGGGCTCAAACTCTTGGCTGAGTTAACAACCTCAAGAGACAGTCGAAACTCTCTGCAGAGAAAAACTTCACAAACTACACACACTTAAATTTTTTAGATTAGTCTGATGCCTGTCTGTCGACATGCGGGATTTTGATTTTGAAGAGAGAATGTTGTATTGTAATTATTTTATCCATGTTCTGGTATAACACGAGTTTACTCGCAAGGTTTTGATAAGCAATTATTCTGGTGAGAGCTAACTCAACTGATGATGTACAACTCTTTTATTCCTTGTAGATAACTGTGATTTTACGCGTGGTAAATATTGTCATTGGGTCCGTGATAAAACCCAGCGCTGCTATTGACAAACAAAGAGAAGATTGATACAATCCAGGAACACTGGACCCAGTCGAGACCACACTACAGACTCAGGTATGAAATAAGAGTGATCTCATGACCACCATCATTATTATGAATAGTCATTACCTCATTACTCTACATCGCTTTCATTATTGTCCATGATTGTTAATTGTTATCCATCGATGCACAAGATTATCATTTTTTAAAATCATACCAACCCATCCATGATTATACATAAACATCCCTGAACATCAATCATCATTCTCGTCTTCATTATCATGTTTGCAGAGATCTCCGTTGAGATTTTCGTCTTTTGATAGATGTGATCTTGTCGATAAGTTACGAGTTTTCAAATTAGGGTGCTTATACACAGAGCTTTTGTAACTATTCATTCATTTCAATCTGGCTAAGGTCAGATGTCATAATAATTATTTACGAGACGTCATTATTCGTTCGTGCTGAGTGAGAAATGCAAAAAAAGACTTCGCCAAACAGGCGGAAAGAGCGTTAGTATTCTCCACCTTGAATTGTTCAGACTGTCTCGTGAAACTATAATAAAATAACTTGAGGTAAAACTTGATGCGTTTTACCTGTCATTTTCATTGTTTTGCTTGGGTTCCCTGTACACTCACTTTTCTCAACATGACAAACGCCCCCATATTGGAATGAATTTATTCTCTAACAAGTAAACAATAAGCGTTGAATTCATTCTCGAGATAACTTTAATCGATCATTTTTTTTAAATATGTGATTGTTCCAACTCATAATCATAGAAAAGTTTGATTTTCACTCTTCAAGTGAGAACGTCAAGCCTTGTGTCAGCAACAGTCTGCATCTGATTTACTTTGCTTTAAAATTTGATTGATAGCTCTATTAAAATGAGCAATATTTTAAACTGTGAAAACTAGGCTGGAGACTTCTCAAAGAAAGAATATGACACAAATCATCAGGATCCCCGCCACGTCCTTTATACGATAAAAACACTTTGAATTTTTGCAAGCATTAGCAAAGATACGTAGATCTCGTTCAAATACACTTTTCTCTGATCCCAGTTCGATATCATGGAAAAGAATATTGTGTTAAGATGATCGTAAGAAACTCTGTGAATGAAGTGACAGGAATATTTGTACAAAAAGCCCGCACTAACATATTGTAGGTGAAGAAACTTAGCGGGATTTCCGCCTGGAAATTTCCATATGGTAAAATTACAGGATGAACATACCACAAGATTGTGAGGAATTCAACGCAAGAATGAATCCGCTTTGAAATATTGTCTTGTGTTTAGTCAAAGTTTAGCATCGCTTGGAGTAAAGAAACTCGGTATGTCTTCAATTGTGACAAGTATTCTCAGTTCAACACTTGGTTTATTATGGAATAAGGTCAGAGACTCGACGGCAGACAAACTCAAAGACGGCGATGTAACCGATGCAGAAATTCGAAAGATTGTCGTACGAGAGTTAACTGATATCAAGTCTAAAATCGATGGCCTTTCCCGATCAACTTTACTCGCCAGTTACGATTTCCTTCAAGAAGGAGTAGAGTTACTCAGTGTTTCGCTTGATAAATCAAATCCCGAGCAGAAGGAGAGCGAAACTCAAGATGAACCAGGTGAACCTTCGAGCGATATTCAGTCTGGTATCTTAAACCAAGCAATAGAGCTTCCTCGCGCCATGGAAAAGCTTAAAATTAACTCGGACAGAGAGTTTGAAACTGCGAGAAAAAGATTCGAGGAAGCGCGCAAGACAGCAACCACTGCTTTCAGGAATGAGGCATTTAGTATCGAAGATCGAATTCTTGCCGCGAAGCTACGAATAGTTTCAGAAATACTGGAACATCTCGATAGTCCTGAGACCGCAATCACTGGGTGTTTGTCGTTTTTGAAGAAGCTTCATAGCTTACCAGCCATTCAAGAGATATTCTCGGTGTATTTGAACGGTGGAGTCAAATCGTTGTTGAATAAAACTCAACGAGTGGAGAACGTCAAGTCGGTTATGTTAATCAACTATGTGTTGTTTCAATATGTTTGGAAATTCAGCAGCAAGTATACATTTGAAGTGTCCGCCCGCCGCATGCCAACGATTGAATTTCCTGATCGTAGTTTTCACCCAATAAGAAATTGGAAGGAAATTTCAACAAAAAAGTCTATGCGAGAGGAATTGCCTGATCTTTCCTACGAACAGTTCCTTGATGAAAAAATAATACCCGACTTCTCTGCTGTGAACAGTCAGGGGCATGTTCTTACTGTCCCTGGTACTGGGTCTAGTGACGACATCATGATTATCCATGAGACAGGAAAAATCAAACGGGTTGAAATACCTGAATTTGCAGGTGTTTTTTTAGTGCCGCTTGCTGTTGATATGAATAACAATGTTTACGTGGTGAGAGGACGTTCAGGTGAAGTATTGATGTTGACGATATTGGACGAGAATTACAATGTAAAAGCAAATCATACATTGGATTTTCTCGAGAACAAAGGTCTCTATGATATTAAGGTCGGGATATGCAAAGACGATGATATTATCATCATCCAGCCCAATGACTCTCATGTGTATGTTTGTGACAAGACGTGTCAATTGAAATACAAGTTTAAACGTGACTCGAGTGAGGCATTTTTATTGAGTATTTCCCAGCAGAATGAAATCATGATACCAACAGACGATCATACGGCGGTTCAAATATACACCAAGGAAGGAAATCTGAAGACAACAATAAAAGTCCCAGAAGGTCATGAGGTATGCAGCCTGGCATTTCACTACGAAATTTGTAAAATATTGGTTTTAACCTGGGTTAGGAGCAAAGATTCCTGTTTCATTCTGTGCTACCCTGAAGCAGGCGGGGAGCTGGAGACTCTTACCTTCTGTTGTAAAGATGAAATTTCCTTCACTTTCAAATTGGTATCCCATCCCAAAGGCCCTGTTGTTGTTGTAAGAAACAGAAGCATCATTTACCTTTAATGAGATTTAGTATCAACAAACATTTCCTGCATAAAACACAGTAAATACTTGTCTGAAATAGTGCAACTTTGAGTTAACTAAAGCAAACAATAGATGCACCATGGTTTATATAATTTGTGAAACTTTGCTGAATTACGTCCCATTAAAGTGTTCCTTATAATATTTATTGAGACAAGTGTAACTTATATTTAAATAATTTAGATAATAATGTTTTTTTGACATTTGCCAACATGGACAATAAGCTTTTAATGACATTTAAAATTTGAATCTAATTTCATATGATATAATATAGTGAAAACCTTCTTTGCCTTGTAATAAATGATCAGGTTCTTAACATAATAAATTTATGAAGCCATCCCTGGCTAAGCTTAGAGCTATGAATCATATTATTAGTGGGTATATTGATGGCGTCTATCTGCAGGGTGATACATATTTTTATTGAGTAAAACAAACAAGGAACATGCTATTCCACTTTTTATTCACTCCAATATGCTTCCTTTAAATATGCTTTACTTTAAAACTATTTGTAATCTAATGTACGATGTTACAAATAGTTCTTGTCCAACTTCAATCTCTGATTGTTTTATCCAATCAAAAGAAGTCCATACTTATAACACTAGACATTGTGTATCCAATAATCTTTATATTGAATACTCAAAACTAACTATAACAACCACATCCTTTGTAAAATCAGGGGTAAAAATTTGGAATAGTATTCCCACTGATGTTCGAGAGATGGGGAGAAAAAATTTCAATTTGAAAATTCAGAAAAGTCTTTTAACTATGTTTGAGATTGAGGATGACTATGTTGATGTACCCACATTAATTCAATATATGAGTAAGCTGTGAAAACAGTGCTTTCAGGGAAATAAACAGGAAATTAATGCTTCCTTATAACAATGATATTTTATGCTGTCAGTATATTGGGCCACTTTGTAAAGTAGATAAAGAATACTTTCTAATTTCTTATTTAAACACTGAGCACATCTTACCTAATTTCGTTTCACTATCCGCCCTGATTAGCTTTGCTATTAGCGGATAGTATTATTTAAATACAGACTGTAATTATTTCCTTATTAATAAAAATTTGATTTTGATTTGATTGATTTGAAGTGTACTACAAATGCTCTTGACACAGTTGAAGCATTTGACTGCCTAGATCTAGTTATCCATCCTGATAAGTCCACTCCTTCCCCTTCTCAAGAGGTAATTATCCTAGGATTTGTCATTAACTGGATAACAATGACTATCCAAGTTACAAATGATAAAAAAGGAAATAATTTAAAAATTTTTGTTTCATGTTATTGAATGTCCAGTGTTTCAAGTTTATTCTCTTTGTAACATATACGTATATTTATATATATATTCCCTAAACTCAGTCCAACAAATTACAACCTTTTCACTTCAAGTCTCTGTCCTTCATGCCCACTTATCAATCACAACCCTCCTAACAACTTATTAAATATTAACTGCATTATTAATAATATCAACTTTATTACATAATGTAAAGCAGACATTCCTATCCAGCAGGTAGCCAAGATTATTGGTTGCCAAGTCTCTTCCTTACCTGGGGTTTAGTATGGGGCTCTTCATTATAGGTACCTTGAAATGGATAAAAAAGATGCTCCTAAAAGAGCTAAGGGTAATTTTGATTCCTTTATGACTGTCTCTGAGGATGGTATGATAGAGTTATGATGGTGGGTCACCCATCTTGAAGAGAGTTTTAGATTTCTTTTCATTCCTCCTATTGATATAACTATATACTCTGATGCACCCCTAGAAAGATGGGGAGCTGTACTAGGTGATACATCTTCAGGAGGAAGATGGTCGCCAGATGAATGTACCCATCACATAAACTACATTGAACTTTTGGCTGCATTTTTTGCCCTTAAACTGTTCTGCATCACTCTTAAGTGGTGTAAGCATGTAAAACTCATGATAGATAACACCACAGCAGTAGCTGTAATAAATAACATGGGTTCTTGTCATAGCCGTATTTGCCGCTTTATGGGCTGCGAAATCTGGGAATTTTGTATAAAATACAACATTTGGCTTACTGCTGCTCACATTCCTGGTTCGCAGAATGTCTTAACACGCAAAGAATCGCGTCATTTTCATAATCCGGATAGCGAATGGAAACCAAACCATTGTCATTACATTTTCCCACTTAGATCTATCTTTTTGCATCACACATAAATATAAAACAGTTCCCAACATATTGCTCTTATCCGCCAGATCCTGAAGCAGTGTTCGTTGATGCTTTCTCTATTTCGTGGATTGATTTGAAATCTTATTGTTTCCCGCCGTTTAGTTTTCTGTTACAGGCTGTAAAGAAAATAATTCAGGAGCATGCCAAGGGAATTTTAGTTATTCCCGACTGTGCCACCCAGCCTTGGTATCCTTTGCTAGCCTCTCTTCATGTCCCACCTCCTGTGGTTCTACAACCCAGTCACAAACTACTGAACCTCGGTCGGAAATCATCGGAAACAACTCATCCCGTTAGCAAGAAGCTCAAACTTTTGATTTGTCATGTCTGCGGCAACAACTACAACAACCTGGCTACTCGTTAAGACCATTAACATAATTGAATCCTCTTGGAGAGACAGCACTAAATCTCAGCGCCAAGTGCATCTGCAGAAATGGTTAAAATTTTGTATGAAGAGGCATTGTGATATCATCTCCCCTCCCTTACCACGGACGTTAGATTTTCTGTCATCGCTGTTTGACTCGGGTTTGTCCTATCGCCCAATCAACTCGGCGAGGTGTGCTTTATCTTCTATTTTGCAATTAAAGTGATAGTGAAGTCACTTTCGGACAGCTACCTATTGTTTAGCACTTTATGAAAGGTGTATTCGAACTGCGCCCGGCTCTACCGCGTTACCAGACAACATGGGATGTTAGCAAGGTCTTATAGTTTTTTCGAAAGCAGCCTATACCTTCCGCGCTGACTTTGAAGGAGCTTACTGTTAAAGTTTCCTTCTTATTGACCTTACTCAGTGGACAACGCTGTCAAACTATTCATCTTCTCACTGTCGATAACATGATTCTCGTTGCGGACAAGTGCACTTTCCACGTCATGGAGAAAGTCAAACAGACACGTGTCGGAACTCATGTCAAACCCCTCGAGTTTTTGAAATATCCATTTGAGCCTCAGCTTTGCGTCGTTACTCATCTCTTATAGAGTATATCAAGAGAACTGATGAAAATAGCCATGATAGAAAGCAATTGCTACTGAGTTATGTTAAACCGTATGGACCTGTTTCGAAAGATACTATATCTCCATGGATAAAGTCTGTTTTGGTAGCTGTAGGTTTAGATGTTATCAAATTTAAAGGTCATAGTGTTCGAGCAGCAACTACATCCTTTTTAGCGTCCAATAACTGTAACACTAAGGATATTACGTTATCCGCAGGATGGTCGAATGAACAGACATTTCAACGGTTTTATAATAAACCGAGCGAGGAGGAATTTAATTTTGGCGCTTCGGTGTTGGAGTGCTATACAAACGTTAATTGTTCCTAGGATATATAATATACTATATATATAATATGTATAGGTTATCACATGAGGGGCGAGGTGATATCAGTTTTATCGCTTGAGGGACGATATCATAAATGTCACGAGTGAGCGCAGCGAACGAGGGACATTTATGATATCGTCCTGAAAGCGATAAAACTGATATCACCTTGTCCCAATTGTGATAACCTGTTTATCACATACTTCTTTTTCTTCTTTAAAGCAATCGACATCGACTGAAACAAACCTCGAACTGCTCGAGTCAGCCATCTTTGTTTTGACAGCGGCAAATGCAGCGGGACAAAAAGCGATATCAGTGACGATATCGTTTTTATGTCACCCTGTTATCGCCCTGATAAAGGCACAAGTATGTGATAAACCTCTCTATATATCGAGATATCTTTCCACTTGGTTTTATCACGCTGGCTATAGTTAGAGTGGTTTGTGTATCTCTGTAGGACAAAGACCTCACTGATTGCTCTGAAATCTGGTCGGCGTTAGATCATATCGAACTAACGTACATGATGTCATAAATTTTGCAATAACGGAAGTATAATAACAGAAGTCTTACATGAAATGTTTCTAGAGCTGGTTCATAAAAATGATAAAATTAAAATGGCGATGAATGATGATACATTTATACATTTATAAATGTACACGAAAGTGTAAATGTCTGTTACCCTCATACCCAGTATAGGAGTGATCTTATACTTATGTAATAGTATCTCTGGCTTTACCTTGATTACGGTTAGGGTTAGGGTTATTGAAAATTTTATGACGTCATGTACGTTAGTTCGATATGATCTAACGCCGACCCTGAAATCTCGTACAACGTCACATGACTTTGGTTGATGACGAAATAGAATTGAAAATTAAACGAGACTTACCTGGAAGTTGAAGTTTGATTTGGCCTGGAGTGTGAGAGTTGTACGCCCCCCCCCCCTGTTCTCTTCCATTCCCTTACTTGCAGTCCACTCTCACACTCATCACGTCCGTGTGGTCTTTGTCCGGTAAAGCTCTAAAGACTGATTGGCGCATGCGCTGCACTCTCTCTCGTACAACTCTCACACTCCTGGCTGATGACTCGTACAATCCAAATCAAATTTCAACTTCCAGGTAAGTCTCGTTTCATTTTCAATTTTATCTCATATGAGATAAGATTTAAATTCAATGCCAATGATTCTCGATATGAATCAAATAAACAATGATTTTTGTTTCCAATAACAAAGATATGTTCTGCATCACTTTCAAGTGAACTTTCCTGAAAAAAACACGACTGTTTGGAAATTCATCAGCAAGTATCCATAAGTGGCGGGTTCATAGTTTATTGAACGTGGCGTTTCAATACATTATTTACAAACACCTCTCTGAAGCAACGTTTACAAGTCCAATTAACATCCGAATTTTGGCGCGATTTTCGTCTTTTGATTGATGTGAACGAGCGAATAGTTATGATGTAATGATGTATAGGTGTTCTTATTTGAACAACCATAACTAAATCTACTCATTTACATGTATCAAAAGAAGAAGATGGCAGCAACAATTGCAAATGTAAACGTGTCTTTATACATACACCTCTTCAATACAGACGTCTCTCTGATATGAACATATTTTCAACTGCACAATTCGTCAAGTCAGGAATGGTTAAGATTCATCCTCTGCTAATGATGTGAATTATTGCAAGTGCATGTGAAGAGATAAACAATTGTGATATCAACAGCTCGTGTAACTCAGGTATATTTACTGCATTCGTTTATTCATTCTTTCGTTCGTTCATTTGAGCCGAGCTGAAACTCTTGGCTGAGTTAACAACCTCAAGAGACAGTCGAAACTCTCTGCAGAGAAAAACTTCACAAACTACACACGCTTAAATTTTGTTACATTACATCTGATGCCTCTCTGTTGACATGCTGGATTTTGATTTTGAAGAGCGAATGTTGTATTGTAATTATTTTATCCATGTTCTGGTATAACACGAGTTTACTCGCAAGGTTTTGATAAGCAATTATTCTGGTGAGAGCTAACTCAACTGATGATGTACAACTCTTTCATTCCTTGTAGATAACTGTGATTTTACGCGTGGTAAATATTGTCATTGGGTCCGTGATAAAAACCAGCGCTGCTATTGACAAACAAAGAGAAGATTGTGACAATCCAGGAAGACTGGACCCAGTCGAGACCACACTACAGACTCAGGTATGAAATAAGAGTGATCTCATGACCACCATCATTATTATGAATAGTCATTACTCTACATCGCTTCCATCATTGTCCCTGATTGCCAATTATTATCCATCAATGCACAAGATTATCATATTTAATCATACCAACCCATGCATAATTATACATCAACATCCCTGAACATCAATTATCATTCTCGTCTTCATTGTCATGGTTGCGGAGATCTCCGTTGAGATTTTCGTATTTTGATAGATGTGATCGTCTCGATAAGTTACGAGTTTTCAAATAAGGGTCTTTATACACAGAGCTTTTGTAACTATTCATTCATTTCTATCTGGCTAAGGCCAGATGTCATAATAGTTATTTACGAGACATCATTATTCGTTTGTCCTGAGTAAGAAATTAAAAAAAGACTTCGCCAAAAAGGCGGGAAAAGCGTTAGTTTTCTCCACCTTAAATTGTTCAGACTGTCTCGTGAATCTAATAAAATAGCTTGAGGTAAAACTTGATGCGTTTTACCAGTCATTTTCATTGTTTTGCTTGGGTTCTCTGTACACTCACTTTTCTCGACATGACAAACGCCCCCATATTGGAATGAATTTACTCTCAGACAAGTAAACAATAAGCGTTGAATTCAATCTCGAAATAACTTTAATCTATCATTTTTCTAAAATATGTGATTGATTGTTTCAACTCATAATCATAGAAAAGTTTGATTTTCACTCTTCAAGTGGGAACGTCAAGCCTTGTGTCAGCAACAGTCTGCACCTGATTCACTTTGCTTTAAAATTTGATTGATAGCTCTATTAAAATGAGCAATATTTTAAACCGTGGGAACTAGGCTGGAGACTTCTCAAAGAAAGAAGATAACACAACTCATCAGGATCCCCGCCACGTCCTTTATACGATAAAAACACTTTGAATTTTTGCAAGCATTAGCAAAGATACGTAGATCTCGTTCAAATACACTTTTCTCTGATCCCAGTTCGATATCATGGAAAAGAATATTGTGTTAAGATGATCGTAAGAAACTCTGAATGAAGTGACAGGAATATTTGTACAAAAAGCCCGCACTAACATATTGTAGGTGAAGAAACTTAGCGGGATTCCCGCCTGGAAATTTCCATATGGTAAAATTACAGGATGAACATACCACAAGATTTTGAGGAATTCAACGCAAGAATGAATATGCTTTGACATATTGTCTTGTGTTTAGTCAAAGTTTAGCATCGCTTGGAGTAAAAAAACTCGGTATGTCTTCAATTGTGACAAGTATTCTCAGTTCAACAGTTGGTTTATTATGGAATAAGGTCAGAGACTCGACGGCAGACAAATTCAAAGACGGCGATGTAACTGATGCAAAAATTCAAAAGTTTCTCGTACGCAACTTAAATGATATCAAGTCTAAAATCGATGGCCTTTCTAGATCAACTTTACTCGCCAGTTATAATTTTTTAAAAGATGGAGTAAAGTTACTCATTGTTTCTCTTGATAAATCAAATCCCGAGCAGAAAGCGAGCGAAACTCAGGACGAACCAGGTGAACCTTCGAGCGTTATTCAGTCTGGTATCTTAAACCAAGCAATAGAGCTTCCTCGCGCCATGAAAAAGCTTAAAATCAACTCGGACAGAGAGTTTGAAACTGCGAGAAAAATATTCGAGGAAGCGCGCAAGACAGCAACCACTGCTTTCTGGAATGAGGCATTTAGTATCGAAGATCGAATATTTTCCGCGAAGATAGGAATAGTTTCAGAAATACTGGAACATCTCGATAGTCCTGAGACTGCAATCACTGGATGTTTGTCGTTTTTGGAAACCCTTCATAGATTACCAGCCATTCAAGAGATATTCTCGGCGTATTTGAACGGTGGAGTCAAATCGTTGTTGAATAAAACTCAACGAGTGGAGAACGTCAAGTCGGTTATGTTAATCAACTAGTATGTGTTGTTTCAATATGTTGGGAAATTCAGCAGCAAGTATTTGTTTGAAGTGTCCGCCTGTATGCCAACGATTGAACTTCCTGATCGAAGTTTTCACCCAATAAGAACTGATTGGTACGAAATTTCAACAAGAAAGTCTATGGGAGAAGAATTGCCTCATCCCCCAAACGAACAGTTCCTTGATGAAGAAATAATACCCTACTTATCTGCTGTGAACAGTCAGGGAGATGTTCTTACTCTTCCTGATACTTGGTCTAGTGACGACATCATGATTATCCATGAGGCAGGAAAAATCAAACGGGTTAAAATACCTGAATTTGCAGGTGATTTTTTACCGTCGCTTGCTGTTGATATGAATAACAATGTTTACGTTGTGAGAAGACGTTCAGATGAAGTATTCATGTTGACGATATTGGACGAGAATTACAATGTTAAAGCAATTCATACATTGGATTTTCTCGAGAAGAAAGGTCTCTATGATATTAAGATCGCGATATGCAAAGACGATGATATTATCATCATCCAACGCGAAGACCCTCATGTGTATGTTTGTGACAAGACGTGTCAATTGAAATACAAGTTTAAACGTGACTTGAGTGCGCCATTTTTATCGAGTATTTCCCAGCAGAATGAAATCATGATACCAACAGACGATAGTACGACGGTTCAAATATACAGCAAGCAAGGAAATCTGAAGACAACACTAAAGGTCCCGGAAGATTATGAGGTATGCAGCGTCGCATTTCACTACGAAATTTGTAAAATATTGGTTTTAACCTGGGTTAAGGAGAAAGATTCCTGTTTCATTCTGCGCTACCCTGAAGCAGGCGGGGAGCTGGAGACTCTTACCTTCTTTTGTAAATTTGACAATGAGCGGACTCCCAAACTGGTATCCCATCCCAAAGGTCCTGTTGTTGTTGTAAGAGACAGAAGCATCACTTACCTTTAATGAGATTTAGTATGAACAAACATTTCCTGCATAAAACACAGTAAATACTTGTCTGAAATAGTGCAACTTTGAGTTAACTAAAGCAAAAAAGCAAACAATAGATGCAGCATGGGTTATATAATTTGTGAGACTTTGTAAGAGAGACAAGTGTAACTTATATTTCAATAATTTAAATAATAATGTTTTTTGACATTTGCCAACATGGACAATAAGCTTTTAATGACATTTATTTAAGAGCGTATGAATCCTATTTCCTATGATATAATATAGTGAAAACTTTCTTTGCTCTTGTAATAAATTATCAGGTTCTTAACACAATAAAGATAATCATGTATCTCTCTTAGAAAGATATTCAGGCTACAAACAAGTTTGCAAATACAGTTTCCCAGGGAAACCCTTCCACTTTTCCAGTCAATTTCAAGGCCCGCAAGCCTACCAAGCTACAGGCTGGACTGAGCCTTTTTTAGGCTAACACGGAGTTAGTCCCTCCCTTACCACGGACGTTAGATTTTCTGTCATCGCTGTTTGACTCGGGTTTGTCCTATCGCTCAATCAACTCGGCGAGGTTTGCTTTATCTTCTATTTTGCAGTTAAGTGATAGTGAAGTCACTTTCGGACAGCTACCTATTGTTTAGCACTTTATGAAAGGTGTATTCGAACTGCGCCCGGCTCTACCGCGTTACCAGACGACATGGGATGTTAGCAAGGTCTTATAGTTTTTTCGAAAGCAGCCTATACCTTTCGCGCTGACTTTGAAGGACCTTACTGTTAAAGTTTCGTTCTTATTGACCTTACTCAGTGGACAACGCTGTCAAAGTATTCATCTTCTCACTGTCGATAACATGATTCTCGTTGCGGACAAGTGCACTTTCCACGTCATGGAAAAAGTCAAACAGACACGTGTCGGAACTCATGTCAAACCCCTCGAGTTTTTGAAATATCCATTTGAGCCTCAGCTTTATGTCGTTACTCATCTCTTAGAGTATAACAAGAGAACTGATGAAAATAGCCATGATAGAAAGCAATTTCTACTGAGTTATGTGAAACCGTATGGGCCTGTTTCCAAAGATACTATATCTCGATGGATAAAGTCTGTTTTGGTAGCTGTAGGTTTAGATGTTAGCAAATTTAAAGGTCATAGTGTTCGAGCAGCAACTACATCCTTTTTAGCGTCCAATAACTGTAACATTAAGAATATTATGTTATCCGCAGGATGGTCGAATGAACAGACATTTCAACGGTTTTATAACGCTGGCTATAGTCAGAGTGGTTTGTGTATCTCTGCAGGACAAAGACCTCACTGATTGCTCTGAAATCTCGTACAACGTCACATGACTTTGGCTGATTACGAAATAAAATTGAAAATTAAACGAGACTTACCTGGAAGTTAAAGTTTGATTTGGCCTGGAGTGTGAGAGTTGTACGCCCCCCCCCCCTGTTCTCTCCCATTCCCTTACTTGCAGTCCACTCTCACACTCATCACGTCCGTGCGGTCTTTGTCTGGTAAAGCTCTAAAGGCTGATTGGCGCATGCGCTGCACTCTCTCTCGTACAACTCTCACACTCCAGGCTGATGACTCATAAAATCCAAATGAAATTTCAACTTCCAGGTAAGTCTCGTTTAATTTTCAATTTTATCTCATGTGAGATAAGATTTAAATTCAATGCCAATGATTCTCGATATGAATCAAATAAACAATGATTTTTGTTTCCAATAACAAAGATATGTGCGGCATCTCTTTCAAGTGAACTTTCGTTCAAAAAAAAGCGACTGTTTGGAAATTCAGCAGCAAGTAGTTATAAGCGGCGGGTTCATAGTTTATTGAGCGTGGTATTTCAATACATTATTTACAAATACTTTTTGAAGCAACGTTTACAAGTCCAATTACCATCCAATTTTTGGTGCGATTTTCGTCTTTTGATTGATGTGAACGAGGGAATAGTTATGATGTAATGATGTATAGGTGTTCTTAACTGAACAACCATAACTAAATCTACTCGTTCACATCTATCAAAAGAAGAAGATGGCAGCAACAATTGCAAATGAAAACTTGTCTTAATACATGCACCTCTTCAATACAGACATCTCTCTGATATGAACATATTTTCAACTGCACAATTCGTCAAGTCAGGAATGGTTAAGATTCATCCTCTGCTAATGATGTGAATTATTGCAAGTGCGTGTGAAGAGATAAACAATTGTGATATCAACAGCTCGTGTAACTCAGGTATATTTACTACATTCGTTTATTTATTCATTCGTTCGTTCATTTGAGCCGAGCTCAAACTCTTGGCTGAGTTAACAACCTCAAGAGACAGTCGAAACTCTCTGCAGAGAAAAACTTCACAAACTACACACACTTAAATTTTGTTAGATTACATCTGATGCCTGTCTGTCGACATGCTGGGTTTTGATTTTGAAGAGCGAATGTTGTATTGTAATTATTTTATCCATGTTCTGGTATAACACGAGTTTACTCGCAAGGTTTTGATAAGCAATTATTCTGGTGAGAGCTAACTCAACTGATGATGTACAACTCTTTCATTCCTTGTAGATAACTGTGATTTTACGCGTGGTAAATATTGTCATTGGGTCCGTGATAAAAACCAGCGTTGCTATTGACAAACAAAGAGAAGATTGAGACAATGCAGGAACACTGGACAAAGTCGAGACCACACTACAGACTCAGGTATGAAATAAGAGTGATCTCATGACCACCATCATTATTATGAATAATCATTACCTCATTACTCTACATCGCATCCATCATTGTCCATGATTGTCAATTGTTATCCATCGACGCACAAGATCATTATTTTCAATTATACGTAAGATCCATCGTTATCCATGAAAATGTACCAGATCTGGTCACACTGACTTCAATATTTACAGGTTCCACAGTTTCCTCCCTCAACGACGACCAACGCAAATCCGTAACACTGGAAGCAATCAAGACCACACAACTGACACTGGTAAGAAATAGAAGTGATCCATCATCACCATTTCTCATCATCACCACCGTGCAATAACACGGGGTATCCTTACCCCATCTATCTATATCTTTGTCCATTATTGTCCATCGTCATCCACAATCGTCTATTGTTATCCACCAAGCACATTATAATCGTCGTTTACCTTAATTATACAGTATACGATATAAATCATTCATTTTTCCCAAGAAGCAAACGTCTTGCAATTGCGTGGTAATAAGCTTTGACAAATCTTATTGTTATGCGAGTTGCAGGCGGACGGGAAGGAGTCGGGCAGGTGCGGGTTATCAGCGTGTTGCGCAAACTTTCCTGTTAAACTTCAATTGTGCTTTAGTTACCGTGAATGAAACCTATTTCTATCAGTCTTTCTCATTAAATCTAAATTACATTTAAACTACTAGATCATATTCTGCTATTATTCATTCACGGACATGCGCAACAAGCTCTCCTAGCACATTTATTTATGCTTTTCCTTTCTTGATTTATCGCCCAGGTTTGATTTTAGAAATAATTGCAGTGATTTCTATCGTATTTCTTTAATCTTTAGTTTTGTGTGATAGTTCAGCGATAAATAAAGACTATCGTACAGCGTTAAGGTGCATATAACCGATCATACTTTCTGCCCTCCCATGTGCATTTTAAGAGTTTAAGTTGACCTACGTCAGGTTAAACAAAGAAATTTCAGAGAGAAAAAACGCGTACTGGCGAGAGAAGCGATTTCGGTTTGTTAGTCCGAATTTCTTTCAAGGTTTTTTCACAAGTACTGTTGTTGGTTTTCATCACTAATTTATGAATTCGGTAATGTAAGGTCAAGTATCTATATAGCTATTGTTAACTTTTATATGCCTAATTTATGTACTTTTGTAAATACCTATAGCCTTAACTTAGTTCTGTTGAAACTGTGTTTTGTTCAAATACGAACACGCAATGATTTCATCTCGCTCGTGTCTATAACTTTTCCTATAAAACTTGGCTCGTGCAGTGACATAAGACCAAAGTGAAATACAGCTGGGATATTTATATACGACATCGCTCCCAGATATATTGTAGACGATGTAAACAAGGTAATTCTATACTGTAAACTTGAACAACCTTCATATCTCGCCTGTTTCTCATGTGATGAAGTTCCCGGAGGAACGTAGATAAAAACATCGTTAGGAATCATATGATTGAATGTGTTTGAGCATATTCATCAGTGTTTAGTCAAAATTTACCTTAATTTTTGGCTTCAGTAAAAAAACTCGGTATGTCTTCAATTGTGACAAGTATTCTCAGTTCAACAGTTGGTTTATTTTGGAATAAGGCCCGAGACTTGACGGCAGACAAACTCAAAGACGGCGATGTAACCGATACAGAAATTCGTAAGATTGTCGTACGAGAGTTAAATGATATCAAGTCTAAAATCGATGGCCTTTCCCGAGCAACTTTACTCGCCAGTTATAATTTTCTAGAAGAAGGAGTAGAGTTACTCAATGTTTCTCTTGATAAATCAAATCCCGAGCAGAAAGCGAGCGAAACTCAGGACGAACCGGGTGAACCTTCGAGCGTTATTCAGTCTGGTATCTTGAACCAAGCAATAGAGCTTCCTGGCGCCATGGAAAAGCTTAAAATCAACTCGGACAGAGAGTTTGAAACTGCGAGAAAAAGATTCAAGAAGGCGCGCGAGACAGCAACCACTGCTTTCTGGAATGAGGCATTTAGTATCGAAGATCGAATTTTTGCTGCGAAGCTACGAATAGTTTCAGAAATACTGGAACATCTCGATAGTCCTGAGACCGCAATCACCGGGTGTTTGTTGTTTTTGAAGAAGCTTCATAGCTTACCAGCCATTCAAGAGATATTCTCGGTGTATTTGAACCGTGGAGTCAAATCGTTGTTGAATAAAACTCAACGAGTGGAGAACGTCAAGTCGGTTATGTTAATCAACTATGTGTTGTTTCAATATGTTTGGAAATTCAGCAGCAAGTATTCGTTTGAAGTGCCCGCCTGCATGCCAACGATTGAACTTCCTGATCATAGTTTTCACCCAATAAGAAATTGGAAGGAAATTTCTACAAGAAAGTCTATGCGAGAGGAATTGCCTCATCCTCCCTACAAACAGTTCCTTGAAGAAATAAGACCCTACTTATCTGCTGTGAACAGTCAGGGGGATGTTCTTACTGTCCCTGGTATTGCCCCTCGTGGCCACATCATGATTATCCATGAGACAGGAAAAATCAAACGGGTTGAAATACCTGAATTTGCAGGTTATATTTTAGTGTCGCTTGCTGTTGATATGAATAACAATGTTTACGTGGTGAGAAGACGTTCTGGTGAAGTATCCGTGTTGACGATATTGGACGAGAATTACAATGTAAAAGCAAATCATACATTGGATTTTCTGAAGTTCAAAGCCAAAGGTCTCTATGGTATTAAGATAGCGATATGCAAAGACGATGATATTATCATCATCCAAGAGGAAGACCCTCATGTGTATGTTTGTGACAAGACGTGGCAATTGAAATACAAGTTTAAACGTGACTCGAGTGAGGCATTTTCATTGAGTATTTCCCAGCAGAATGAAATCATGATACCAACAGACGATCATACGGCGGTTCAAATATACACCAAGGAAGGAAATCTGAAGACAACAATAAAATCCCCAGAAGATCATATAAAGGTATTGTGCGTGGCATTTCACTACGAAATTTGTAAAATATTGGTCTTAACCTGGGTTGATGAGAAAGATTCCTGTTTCATTCTGTGCTACCCTGAGGCAGGCGGGGAGCTGGAGACTCTTACCTTCTGTTGTGAAGGTGGCGATTCATGGGTTTCCAAACTGGTATCCCATCCCAAGGGTCCTGTTGTTGTTGTAAGAGAGAGAAGCATCATTTACCTTTAATGAGATTTAGTATCAACAAACATTTCCTGCATAAAACACGGTAAATACTTGTCTGAAATAGTGCAACGTTGAGTTAACTAAAGCAAACAATAGATACAGCATGGTTTATATAATTTGTGAGACTTTCCTGAATTACATCCCATTAACAATAAATAATTTAAATAATTTAAATAGTAAAGGTTTTTGACATTTGCCAACATGGACAATAGGCTTTTAATGACATTTAAAAGCGTATGAATCCTATTTCATATGATATAATATAGTGAAAACTTTCTTTGTTCTTGTAATAAATGATCAGATTCTTAACATAATAAACTTATGAAACCACCCCTGGCTAAGCTTAGAGTTATGAATCATATTATTAGTGGGTATATTAATGGCTTCTATCTGCAGGGTGATACATATGCTAAGTGTGCTACAAATGCTCTTGACACAGTTGAAACATTTGACTGCCTAGATCTAGTTATCCATCCTGATAAGTCTACTCCTTCCCCTTCTCAAGAGGTAATTATCCTAGGATTTGTCATTAACTGGATAACAATGACTATTGAAGTTACAAATGAGAAAAAAGGAAACAATTTAAAAAATTTGGTTTAATGTTATTGAATGTCCAATATTTCAAGTTTATTCTCTTTGTAACATATACGTATATTTATATATTTATTCTCTGAACTCAGTCTAACAAATTACAACCTTTTCACTTCAAGTTTCTGTCCTTCATGCCCACTTATCAATCACAACCCTCCTAACAACTTATTAAATATTAACCCCATTATTAATAATATCAACCTTATTACATAATGTAACATCCAGCAGACATTCCTATCCAGCAGGTAGCCAAGATTATTGGTTACCTAGTCACCTCCTTACCTGGGGTTCAGTAAGGGGCTCTTCATTATAGGTACCTTGAAATGGATAAAAAAGATGCTCCTAAAAGAGCTAAGGCTAATTTTGATTCCTCTATGACTGTCTCTGAGGATGGCTTGATAGAGTTATGATGGTGGGTCACCAATCTTGAAGAGAGTTTTAGATTTCTTTTCATTCTTCCTATTGATATAACTATATACTATGATGCACTCCTAGAAAGATGGGGAGCTGTACTAGGTGATACATATTCAGTGGGAAGATGGTTGCCAGATGAATGCACCCATCACATAAACTACATTGAACTTTTGGCTGCATTTTTTGCCCTTAAACTGTTCTGCACCACTCTTAAATGGTGTAAGCATGTAAAACTCATGATAGATAACACCACAGCAGTAGCTGTAATAAATCTAGGAATTTTGCTGCGAAATCTGGGAATTTTGTATAAAATACAACATTTGGCTTACTGCTGCTCACATTCCTGGTTCGCAGAATGTCTTAACACGCAAAGAATCTCGTCATTTTCATAATCCAGATAGCGAATGGAAACCAAACCATTGTCATTACATAATGCGCTCAGTACCTTGAATTTTCCCACTTAGATCGATCTTTTTGCATGACACTTAAATATAAAACAGTTCCTAACATATTGCTCTTATCCGCCAGATCCTGAAGCAGTGTTCGTTGATGCTTTCTCTATTTCGTGGATTGACTTGAAATTTTATTGTTTCCCGCCGTTTAGTTTTCTGTTACAGGCTGTAAAGAAGATAATTCAGGAGCATGCCAAGGGAATTTTAGTTGTTCCCGACTGTCCCACCCAGCCTTGGTATCCTTTGCTAGCATCTCTTCATGTTCCACCTCCTGTGGTCCTACAACCCAGTCACAAACTACTGAACCTCGGTCGCAAATCATCGGAAACAACTCATCCCCTTTGCAAGAAGCTCAAACTTTTGGTTTGTCATGTCTGCGGCAACAACTACAACAACCTGGCTACTTGTTAAGACCATTAACATAATTGAATCCTCTTGGAGAGACAGCACTAAATCTCAGTACCAAGTGCATCTGCAGAAATGGTTAAAATTTTGTATGAAGAGGCACTGTGATATCATCCCCTTTCCCTTACCACGGACGTTAGATTTTCTGTCATCGCTGTTTGACTTGGGTTTGTTCTATCGCTCAATCAACTCGGCGAGGTTTGCTTTATCTTCTATTTTGCAGTTAAGTGATAATGAAGTCACTTTCGGACAGCTACGTATTGTTTAGCACTTTATGAAAGGTGTATTCGAACTGCGCCCGGCTCTACCGCGTTACCAGACAACATGGGATGTTAGCAAGGTCTTATAGTTTTTTCGAAAGCAGCCTATACGTTCCGGGCTGACTTTGAAGGAGCTTAATGTTAAAGTTTCCTTCTTATTGACCTTACTCAGTGGACAACGCTGTCAAACTATTCATCTTCTCACTGTCGATAACATGATTCTCGTTGCGGACAAGTGCACTTTCCACGTCATGGAGAAAGTCAAACAGACACGCGTCGGAACTCATGTCAAACCCCTCGAGTTTTTTCGAAATATCCATTTGAGCCTCAGCTTTGCGTTGTTACTCATCTCTTAGAGTATAACAAGAGAACTGATGAAAATAGCCATGATAGAAAGCAATTGCTACTGAGTTATGTGAAACCGTATGGACATGTTTTCAAAGATACTATATCTCGATGGACAAAGTCAGTTTTGGTAGCTGTAGGTTTAGATGTTAGCAAATTTAAAGGTCATAGTGTTCGAGCAGCAACTACATCCTTTTTAGCGTCCAATAACTGTAACATTAAGGATATTATGTTATCCGCAGGATGGTCGAATGAACAGACATTTTAACGGTTTTATAATGAACCGAGCGAGAAGGAATTTAATTTTGGCGCTTCGGTGTTAGAGTGCTATACAAACGTTAATTGTTCCTAGGATATATAATATACTATATATATAATATACTTCTCTATATATCGAGATATCTTTCCACTTGGTTTTATCACACTGGCTATAGTTAGAGTGGTTTGTGTATCTCTGCAGGACAAAGACCTCACTGATTGCTCTGAAATCTCGTACAACGTCACATGACTTTGGCTGATGACGAAATAGAATTGAAAATTAAACGAGACTTACCTGGAAGTTGAAGTTTGATTTGGCCTGGAGTGTGAGAGTTGTACGCCCCCCCTGTTCTCTCCCATTCCCTTACTTGCAGTCCACTCTCACTCATCACGTTCGTGCGGTCTTTGTCTGGTAAAGCTCTAAAGACTGATTGGCGCATGCGCTGCACTCTCTCTCGTACAACTCCCACACTCCAGGCTGATGACTCATACAATCCAAATCAAATTTCAACTTCCAGGTAAGTCTCGTTTAAGTCTCGAGATAAGATTTAAATTCAATGCCAATGATTCTCGATATGAATCAAATAAACAATGATTTTTGTTTCCAATAACAAAGATATGTGCGGCATCTCTCTCAAGTGAACTTTCCTTAAAAAAACACGACTGTTTGGAAATTCTGCAGCAAGTAGCCATAAGTGGCAGGTTCATAGTTTATTGAGCGTGGCATTTCAATACATTATTTACAAACACTTCTCTGAAGCAACGTTTACAAGTCCAATTACCATCCGAATTTCTTGGCGATTTTCGTCTTTTGATAGATGTGAACGAGCGAATAGTTATGATGTAATGATGTATAGGTGTTCTTATCTGAACAACCGTAACTAAATCTACTCGTTCACATCTATCAAAAGAAGAAGATGGCTGCAACAATTGCAAATGTAAACGTGTCTTAATACATGAACCTCTTCAATACAGACATCTCTCTGATATGAACATATTTTCAACTGCACAATTCGTCAAGTCAGGAATGGTTAAGATTCATCCTTTGCTAATGATGTGAATTATTGCAAGTGCGTGTGAAGAGATAAACAGTTGTGATATCAACAGCTCGTGTAACTCAGGTATATTTACTGCATTCGTTTATTCATTTATTCGTTCGTTCATTTGAACCGAGCTCAAACTCTTGGCTGAGTTAACAACCTCAAGAGACAGTCGAAACCCTCTGAAGAGAAAAACTTCACAAACTACACACACTTAAATTTTGTTAGATTACATCTGATTCCTGTCTGTCGACACGCGGGATTTTGATTTTGAAGAGAGAATGTTGTATTGTAATTATTTTATCCATGTTCTGGTATAACACGAGTTTTCTGGCTCGCAAGGTTTTGACAAGCAATTATTCTGGTGAGAGCTAACTCAACTGATGATGTACAACTCTTTCATTCCTTGTAGATAACTGTGATTTTACGCGTGGTGAATATTGTCATTGGGTTCGTGATAAAAACGAACGCTGCTATTGACAAACAAAGAGAAGATTGAGACAATCCAGGAAGACTGGACCCAGTCGAGACCACACTACAGACTTAGGTATGAAATAAGAGTGATCTCATGACCACCATCATTATTATGAATAGTCATTACCTCATTACTCTACATCGCTTCCATCATTATCCATGATTGTCAATTGTTATCCATCGATGCACAAGATTATCATATTTAATCATATATACCAGCCGATGCATAATTATACATCAACATCCCTGAACATCAATCTTCATTCTCGTCTTCATTATCATGGTTGCAGAGATTTTCGTCTTATGACATATGTGATCGTGTCCATCAGTTTTTGCTCTCTGAAATCGCGGGAAAGTACTGGGACGAGTCGTTAAATATAACTCTATTTACAACTTAAAATATCTCCATATTTTATTTTATTGGAAACATATTTTATTTCGCTTTCACGGGACTGATTAAGTTGTTGTTGTTTCGATAGAAAAGCAAGTTTGTTGTTGTTTCGATAGAAATGCTATGTTCTCACATTTTAAGGTTTGACGATCTGCGAAACTAAAACAAAGTTCGAGTTAACCGGATAAATTTGACCAAGGAAAAACAAAATTTGTTCGAATTAGCGAGGAGTTCGAATAGACCTTTTTCATAATGACGTCAAACGCGGAAAGTATGATGTTACACGAAGTTTGATTGGTTCGATAGTTTTCTGGAGCCAATCAAATTCCGTGTAACATCAGACTTTCCGCGTTTGACGTCATTATAAGAAAGGTCTATTAAGCGAGTTCGAGTTAAGCAGAGTAAATTACTATAAAGAACATTACCAAATCCAAGGGGAATTCGATTTAGTTCGAGTTAGTGAGGAGTTCGAGTTAAGCGAGTTTGAGTTATTGGGGGACTACTGTAGTTATTTACGAGACGTCATTATTCGTTCGTGCTCAGTGAGAATTTAAAAAAAAGACTTCGCCAAACAGGCGGAAAGTGCGTTAATATTCTCCACCTTGAATTTTTTAGACTCTCGTGAAACTAATAAAAAATAACTTGAGGTAATCCTTGATGCGTTTTTCCAGTCATTTTCATTGTTTTGGTTGGGTTCCCCTGTACACTCACTTTTCTCGACATGACAAACGCCCCCATATTGGAATGAATTTATTCTCTAACAAGTAAACAATAAGCGTTGAATTCATTCTTGAAATAACTTTAATCTATCTTTTTTCTAAAATATGTGATTGATTGTTTCAACTCATAATCATAGAAAAGTTTGATTTTCACTCTTCAAGTGGGAACGTCAAGCCTTGTGTCAGCAACAGTCTGCACCTGATTTACTTTGCTTTAAAATTTGATTGATAGCTCTATTAAAATGAGCAATATTTTAAACCGTGGGAACTAGGCTGGAGACTTCTCAAAGAAAGAAAGTACGTGACACAAATCATCAGGATCCTCGCCACGTCCTTTATACGATAAAAACACTTTGAATTTTTGCAAGCATTTGCAAAGATACGTAGATCTCATTCAAATATAACGTTATATTTTACTATTAAAGCGCCTGGGTACGAGGCTGGGAATTCAACCAGCGCTTCCACTTTGAAGGAAATTTCCTTTTAAAAGGATTTTTTGTAAGATGATGGAAATTTAAAGGAAATAAATTTTAAAGGAAATTTGAGGGAAATTCTAGAAAAACGAAGGGAATTTGAAGGAAATATAAAAATTTTACCATATTTATTTAATATTTAGATCTTTTTGAAAAAAAAAGCGCAAAATAAGCCTAAATCTGACTACATAGACCTTGCGCATAACACTTATTAACCGAAAAATAATTAATAAATAGAATAAATGCCATTAATTTACTTGAAATACTTCGTTTAATACTTTTTTTTGTATAAATCATAGTAATTGTGTGAAATAAATTATAATAATTACATCTAAAACATTCAAAGTACTAAAAGTAGCTACCTTTTTCCTTCACGCCTCTATATGCACGTAATTTATATAAATTTTTAAATGCAAGTTTTGATTGTTCATTCATTTAAGGTCAATTGAGGTCAAAACCATGACTTTTGAAGCTACGGGCCTATTTTGAATGATGCAATTCTGTTTATAGTTTTAGCCAGGGTTTTAGCTCTGTCAGTTTTCTGTACGAAGTATAATTGTATTCAGACTTTAGAGCAATGATAAAATTGAACATTACGATGATCGTATTTTGAGAAAAGGCTTTTTTAGAGCATATTCAACATAATTTCTTTTAATTGCTTGAAGGAAATGTGAAGGAAATTTCACATTTTTTTAAAGGAATTTTTAGTGAAAATAAATAGAAAAAATGGATTTTCTGATTTTCCAAAGTGGAAGCACTGGAATGAATCTGCTTTCACATATTGTGTTGTGGTTTGTCAAAGTTTAGCATCGCTTGGAGTAAAAAAACTCGGTATGTCTTCAATTGTGACAAGTATTCTCAGTTCAACACTTGGTTTATTGTGGAATAAGGTCAGAGACTCGACGGCAGAGAAACTCAAGGACGGCGATGTAACTGATGCAGAAATTCGTAAGATTGTCGTACGAGAGTTAAATGATATCAAGTCTAAAATCGATGGCCTCTCCCGATCAACTTTACTCGCCAGTTACGATTTCCTTCAAGAAGGAGTTAAGTTACTCAGTGTTTCTCTTGATAAATCAAATCACGAGCAGAAAGCGAGCGAAAATCGGGACGAACCGGGTGAACCTTCGAGCGTTATTCAGTCTGGTATCTTAGACCAAGTAATAGAGCTTCCTCGCGCCATGGAAAAGCTTAAAATCAACTCGGACAGAGAGTTTGAAACTGCGAGAAAAAGATTCGAGAAAGCGCGCGAGACAGCAACCATTGCTTTCTGGAATGAGGCATTTAGTATCGAAGATCGAATTTTTGCTGCGAAGCTACGAATAGTTTCAGAAATAATGCAACATCTCGATAATCCTGAGACCGCAATCACTGGGTGTTTGTCGTTTTTAAAGAAGCTTCATAGCTTACCAGCCATTCAAGAGATATTCTCGGTGTATTTGAACGGTGGAATCAAATCGTTGTTGAATAAAACTCAACGAGTGGAGAACGTGAAGTCGGTTATGTTAATCAACTATGTGTTGTTTCAATATGTTTGGAAATTCAGCAGCAAGTATTCGTTTGAAGTGCCTGCCTGCATGCCAACGATTGAACTTCCTGATCGTAGTTTTCACCCAATAAGAAATTGGCACGAAATTTCAACAAGAAAGTCTATGGGAGAGGAATTGCCTCATCCTCCAAACGAACAGTTCCTTGATGAAAAAATAATACCCCGTTTATCTGCTGTGAACAGTCAGAGGGATGTTCTTACTGTCCCTGGTACTGGATCTCGTGACGACATCATGATTATCCATGAGGCAGGAAAAATCAAACGGGTTAAAATACCTGAATTTGCAGGTGATTTTTTAGTGTCGCTTGCTGTTGATATGAATAACAATGTTTACGTGGTGAGAAGACGTCCAGGTGTAGGATTTATGTTGACGATATTGGACGAGAATTACAATGTAAAAGCAAATCATACATTGGATTTTCTCAAGGACAAAAGTGTGTTGTCTTCAGTTAGCATCGCGATATGCAAAGACGATGATATTATCATCATCCAATACGAAGACCCTCATGTGTATGTTTGTGACAAGACGTGTCAATTGAAATACAAGTTTAAACGTGACTCGAGTCGGGCATTTTCATTGAGTATTTCCCAGCAGAATGAAATCATGATACCAACAGACGATGATACGGCGGTTCAAATATACACCAAGGAAGGAAATCTGAAGACAACAATAAAAGTCCCAGAAGATCATGAGGTATTGTGCGTGGCATTTCACTACGAAATATGTAAATTATTGGTTTTAACCAAGGTTAGGGAAAAGGATTCCTATTTCATTCTGTGCTACACTGAAGCAGGTGGGGAGCTGGAGACTCTTACCTTTTGTTGTGAAGATGAAAATTTCTTCTTTGAATTCATTCCCAAACTGGTATTCCATCCCAAGGGTCATGTTGTTGTTGTAAGAGTCAGGAGCATCAAATTCCTTTAATGAGATTTTATAGTATGAACAAACATTTCCTGCATAAAACAGAGTAAATACTTGTCTGAAATAGTGCAACTTTGAGTAAACTAAAGCAAACAATAGATGCAGCATGGTTTATATAATTTGTTAGACTTTGCTGAATTACGTCCCATTAAAGTGTTCCTGTTTCTGTTGTAAGAGAGACAAGAAACAAGTGTAACTTATATTTAAATAAGAGGTTGAAAGGGTCTTAATTTCGAGTGGAATTATACACACTTCAAATTCCAGTTATGCAGGAACAGTTGAAGGAAAAATGGGTCAACTATAGGTTCTCCTGCAGGAATCAAACCTACGCTTTTGCGATGCCAGTGTAATGCTCTTGCCACTGAGCTACAGAGGTGGTTGACAAGAGCAAGCGAAGTTAATGTGTATAAGATGGTAATTATGATGGTAATTGATTACCATCTTATACACATTTACCTCGCTTGCTCTTGTCAGCTACCTCTGTAGCTCAGTGGCAAGATCGTTTCTGCTGGAGGACCTATAGTTGACCCATTTTTCCTTCAACTGTTCCTGG